TGTGTATTTTATTTGTCACATACATGATCTGAATGGACAGTTCTTCTCTAGTACTGCTGCATTTCTGATGTACTTCTAGGTATGACTGAGTTTAAAGAAACCTATGCTAAAAGAAATGTATAGGTTTCCATTGCACCTTAAAGCAAACCTGTTGCTCAAAAACATTTGTTAAAAACATCTCCCAGCCAAAAAAGAAGAATCCTAATACTGACAGAGGGTGGCAAGTGTTGGATTCTTGCATCACCCGAGGTGCGTTATGGTACCAACCAGAAGGAAGAACGGAACACATCCAACAGGGGACCAGCCATCCAACACACCCAAGGCTTATAGCCAACAAAGCTCTTAAAGACAGTAAATAAAGTTTAAATGTTCTGCCTGCCAGAGAGGTAAGTATTGAAGCTTAAACAAAAATCAAATAGATGCATTTTATCTTTCTGCACACGAGTGAATGTAAGTTTTATTATTGTAAATAGTAGCCAGACTGCTTCCCAGCACCAAACCAAAAGTCAAGAAACAGGCAGCAGGTTGCAGAGTTGGAATGATGCACTCTTGTCAGAGCAGTGGTCTCTCTACTGCGTTCCCACACGTACCCTGTGGAGTCACAGCTAGGGCTCTCCAATTAGCAGGAAGCATAAAGCTAGATATAAATGGAGTAAATTCCGTCCGGTCCCTGAAAAGTCCCCCAACTAAGGGGAGCATGTAGGGCTACTGCTCTGACAAGAGTACACTGGTCAGATTTTGCAGCCTGCTGTCTGTACTTTGGCTTTTAGCCTGGAACTGGGAAGCAATGTGACTACTAAATACAGTTAGAAACCTACACTGTGAAATATATTTATCAGATCTTTTCCCCAAGGGACAGAGATGCCATAAAAAGGCTTCCACACTTTTTAAGTCAATGACCAATGTTGTATGCCAATGAGGCGTATTGACTTCACTTGCTGCATAATATTTTTGGGTCAGCTGCTCAGAAAGCATTGAAGCTAACAAACACTTAGGGCTTGACAAATCTGCTTTGAATCTAGGAGCCAGCTAAAAAATAAAAAGTTAGGAGCCAGTTTTTGTTTTTTAACTAACAAAGAAAGGTTTACTTTCAATGACAAAACCCCCTCTCCTATGTAGCCCTGATGTGTATCTGTACAGATGCATTATACAGGTTTACACACAGTTATACCTCTCAGCCTTTGCCTATTAACCTTCTTAGGATCTCTAAAATCGGAATAAGTGAGGTACTGCACATGCTAGGACTTGCAGTTCTATCACATTCTGCAATGGAGGTACAGCACATGCTAGGACTTGTAGTTCTATCACATTCTGCATTGGAGGTACAGCACATACTGGGACATTTAGTCCTCTAGCAGCCCCTGCCCCCAAGTTTACACAAACCCAGGATGTGTCCCTGTACCATTAGCAGCACAAAGGTGTGTATTGCCTCTTCAAAGATGATAAGGCACCCCTCCAGCCCCTTCCCTGCCCCCTGGGCCCCACCATTGGCACCCATGTGGAAGTGAGTGCCAGGCCCTGTCACCCCCACCCCAGCCAGTCCCTGCTTGGCAGACTGTTTTTCCTTTATTTTTGACCACGAAGGTGTGGAAAAAAAAAAAACTGTAAGTACAATAATGTACAATATATATGTAAACCGCTGCATAAATTGGCAGTACTACATAAAGTACCTGTAATAAATAAAATTAAAAATTGCATACCAAGATATTCTACTGTATTTTATTTGTTGATTTTGGCATTGTTAACCTAAGAAATAAATCTGACATGGTATAGCGACTATGATTTTAAATATCACTCAGAAAACTTGCTAAGAAATGTCCCTCTTATTAACTGAAATTGAAGCTTAAACATACTATAGAAGCTTGCATTACCTCCTTGACATAAAATATAGACATAGCATGTGAAGTTTCAGCACCATCATGCTAAGACTTAGGCCTAATAGGATTGCACCTGTGATTGCAGCTAGATTATGAAGTGTTAAATATATGCTACATTAACTGAAGTGCATTCATAAACAGGATAATAACCACTTTTAGCTGTCAGTGAGGGAAATGAGAAGCAACAGCCCAAAGGTCTATTTATTCTGGCTTTAACAAGCTGCATTTCCTAATTCTGAATGCTGGAGATGTAAGCAATGTGCAGGGTGTGCCTTTCATTTCCGTGCAAATCATGATTCTTATCACAACCAGATGGAGCGGTTATCAAAACATAAACATCAGGAAAGAGGCATCACAAAGACACAACTAAAAATATCAGAGTTAAACAATCCATCATGGTCTCCATTGGCATTTAAAATAAGATGCCATCTGAATTCCCATCAATCCTCCATTGATCAGTGCTTGCTCTACTGTGCTGCGTCTCCAAATGTTTCCACAGATTACGTGGAGATGTGGGCGCATAATGGAAATGTTCTATAAATGGACAATGAAAAACAACCTTGTTCGACCAAAATGAAATCTAACAAAGCATACTTTTTTAGAGAAATTAAACAGATGTAAACTAAAGAGCTTACATGCAAACTAAGTCTAATGCAAAAGCATTACTATATGCAGCGATTGTCATCACGCTGGAGGAAGCCGCGATGTACTCAAAACAACATTTAAAAGTGATCTGTTTACTGAAAAATTCTTATAGATCCCAGCATAACAACGTGTGTCTTTATCCTAACAGTGCATGTTTGCATGATGATCCCATCTTATGCTGGAATGATAGACCATGGACTAAATCAGGGGTCTCCAAACTTTTTAAACATAGGGCCAGTTTTCTGTCCATCAGACTTTCAGAGGGTCGGACTGTAGCCATTGGGAGTAGAAATTGTCCCAGCATCAGTGGGAGTAAACAACGCATTTTGGTGTGTGTGGGGGGGGAGGGGGGGAATAGCGTACCTTCATTGGTGTAAGTGGGAAGAATAATGCCAATTGTTGGTGTCAGAGGGAGGAATAGTGCCCAGTTGTGTCAGTGGGAAAAATAGTGCCCCATCACTGGTGTCAGTTTGAGGAATAGTGTCCTATTGTTGGTGTCAATGGGGGGAAATAGTGCCCCATCGTTAGTGTTAGTGGCATCAGGAATAGTCCCCCATCACTGGTGTCAGTGAGAGGAATAGTGTCCTATTGTTGATGTCAGTGGGGGGAAATAGTGCCCCATTAATGGTGCCAGTGGGAGGAAACAGTGCTCCATTCAATGGTGTCAGTGGGAGGACTAGTGTCTCATTTTTGACCTCAGTAGCAATAATTATGCCCCATTGTTAGTGGGAGGCAAGAAATAGTGTCTTGAATCAGTGAAAGGAAAAGTGCCCTGAGGGCCAGATAAAGGCAAGCAAAGGGCCACATCTGGCCCCCGGGCCACAGTCTGGCAACCACTGGACTAAATCTTCTAATATGGCCAGTGGGCTTCAAGAAAACTCTGTGAGATGTGACCAATAATCATATAGTCCTTTGGAAATCACAGGTATTACAATTGAGTAAATTAACTTTTAAATGTTTATATCATCTAAATATATTTCAAGTACCAGGTCAAATCACCAGGTGTTTATAGAGTATAAAAGCCTGTCTCCTACTAGCGTGAAGGACCCTTTAAAGCAATTGTCTCTCTGGAGAAGTCTGACACGCCTCCTACTGCCTCAAAAGCAGGAGTTCTCCAAAAAACAGAGAACATTGTATTTGCTGATTACACAGCTATAGGTCTTAACTCCGCTAGGGGAGTGTCAGTCCTCTCCAGAGAGACCACTGTTTCCACACAGAAAAATGGTTTTGTACCTGCTGATAGTTGACTAGCTTTTTACTCATTCTGTGGAAGCATTTTTAACCACTTGTCTGCTGGCACTTTTACCCCTTTCCTGCCCAGGCCTTCTGCTTTCACTGCTGTTGTACTTCAAATGACAATTGTGCAGTCATGCAATACTGCACCCATGTGAAATTTTTATCTTTTTTTTTCACACAAATAGAGCTTTTTTTGGTGGTATTGAATCACCACTGGCGGTTTTATTTTTTGCTCAACCAAGGAAAAAAAGACCGAAATTTTTTGGGGAAAAAATAGTTTCTTTGTTATATAAAATTATATTATCATAAAATTTTGCAGATCATTTTTTTTCTTCACTGATGTGCGTTGATGAGGCTGCACTGAAGGGCACTGAATGGCTGGACTGTTAGGTGGCACTGACTGGCAGCACAGATGGAAAATTATTGGCAGCACTGATTGACCCAGATTGGCACTGATAGGCAGCACTAAAGGGCTATTTGGGGCTTTCCTGCATGAGGAAAGTACTGCCCATAACCAGCAAGTGTTTGAATTGTGATAAGCTGTGATTGGACACAGCTGATCATGTGATAAAGGGTGCACTGATAGGCCGCACTGATGAGGTGGCACTGACAGGCTACACTGAAGGGCACTGAATGGCGGGACTGTTAGGTGGCACTGACTGGCAGCACAGATGGAAAATTATTGGCAGCACTGATTGACCCAGATTGGCACTGATAGGCAGCACTGAAGGGCTTTTTGGGGCTTTCCTGCATGAGGAAAGTACTGTCCATAACCAGCAAGTGTTTGAATTGTGATAAGCTGTGATTGGACACAGCTGATCATGTGATAAAGGGCCGCTTTGATTGTCCCTTTACCGTGACATGTGATCAGTTGTGTCCGAAGGACAAAGAGATCACAGAGAGCAACAGGTGTGTGCCGCAGCAGGCACATTCTGGGAGGACATATGAAGCCCTCCCAGAACTGGACACCAAGCTGTAGCCATCATTCGGCTACAGCGCAGTCAGTAAGTGGTTAAAGAAAACAAACTGTAGATTTTAAAAACCTTTTGTTCTGATGCACCTGAAATATATTTAGCCGATTAAAAGTTTAGTTGGGCTTTATTGTTTACAACTGTTTACAATTGCCTTGAGCATCCTTCATTCAAACAATGACACATCTATCTCTGTGTGTTACTGGATTAAGTAGATACTTACTTAAAAAGAAAAAAAAAAAAATTTGAGTGAGACCAAACCCTTTCTCACCTTTCTGATAGCTGGCGAATCTGAGGAATACCCATATACTTCTGAAAGTGCTCCAAGACGTTCACTACCCCTTGTAGGAGGTTGGCAACTTCCCCATACTGCCTTTTTCTTGTCATTGCTCTGTAAAACATTACAATAGGGTTTACCTTGCTTTTTAATAATGAATTAAAGTGTTTTGCTTCCAAAAACACAACACATTGCCGAAAGACAGGATAAGGTATAAACTAAATATTAGCATAACAAAATAAGAAAAATAAGTACAGCAGAATGCAGCACATTAGGACTAGAACAGGGCAAGAGTAACAAAGGTTCATAGACTCAGTCTTGTGGCCCATGGTTTCTATGAATTCTCGAAAACTGAGTATTTACCTAAGAGCCAACAATTTTGTGCATGAAATGGGGTTTTAACAGCTCAACAGCATCTGGAGGATTATATGCAAGGTTCAGATTTCAAAAATTTAGTAATCATATACCTAGCAGCCAATATGATATGGATGACAAGTATGCAAGAATGAATTGGGAAGTTCTCTATGCCTAGGTTTAGAATTGCTAAGGCTGGTGACTGAGGGACTATGATACTGGTGACCTCAGAAATCATTTGGAATTTGCACCTAGAAGAGGTTGATGTGGTAACATTTCCACAAAATATGCATCAATGTTCCTATGGAGCCACAAACTCTCCAGCATAAAGGGGGCTACGAGGGATACAATTTAGCTATTCTAAAAGGGGTTAAGTAATCTTTTGTATCAGTTACCAATGCTTGATAAAGCTGACCACCTTATATACTGAATTGAATGTCAAGGTCCATTGTGAGTCGGTAAAGGAGGCAGAAAGACCTAGCTCCCATTGCTGAAACACAGTAGTCTTGGTGAAGCACATATTATTGTGAAGAGTGTTAAAATAAAGAAGTGCCTCTCTGAGTTGATGCAACTGATGTGTAGTATTGCCAAGCTTTGGTGGGAATGAATACGGTTTCAAATGAGAATGACCTTAAGAAGTATCTGATATGTATATATTGTTATTATATTATTAAACAGGATTTACATAGTACCAAAAGAAATGAAATCAGACATTACAGTTACAATACAATTTGGTACAAGAGGAAACAGAGGGCCTTGCTCGTTAGAGCTTACAATCTAAAAGGGAGGGTTAAGTTATATAAAAGGTAAATATATATTTGAATACCCAATGGATGACAAGACAAATTCTCTTGCAAGTTCCCTAAAGCTTTTGGGAGTGCCTCTTGAGTATAGATCCATGAATGTGGAGAAATTTTTGAATTGCCAAGATTTAGTGGAGAAACAAGGTATGAGTACATCCAGGACACTAAGTGAATAAAGATGGGACTAACCCAGGAGTAAATCCCAGAGGCTGAATGTAGGGATCTCCATGCAATAAGGGACAATAAAAAGGTAAGAGCTTTAGGGTCAGAGGTCGCCAACAAAAGACTTTACTTTTAAAACCTAGGTAGCAATACTGCAGTGTGTGCATATACGAAATTCTAAAGATTTCTGTTTTCCTTAATAAAGTAGAGAATGGAACAAGAGTCTACAGGAAACTACAGTTCTATTTTAATAGGATATTTTATGACAGGAAAAGAAAAGGAAAAATCTAACAAAAGAAAAAAAAAAGTTTTGGCTAGAGTCACACTTTAAAAAAATATAGCTCTGTTTTCCCTTTACCATGACTTCAGCAATGCTGATATTAACTTTTCAGTGCAGTTAACACCATTCAAATGGTTTGCTTTTTTTACTCCGTAAAAATAATGTGTTGACACCATGAGGGAAAATTGAAGGTCTTAAGTACTGAAATGTTCCCCTTTGAGGAAAAAGCATTATTGGTACATGAGATTGCAGGATTCGAAATTACACATTTCACTTGTGGTACGTATCAATGTTGCTTTCTGCATCAGGCCAATCACGGAGATTTATACATTCTATGGCACACAAGGTAGACCAAAGCAAGAGCAGTGAAACCGATTAAAGCAACTGTTGCTAGAATAAAAATGTAAAAAATCCATGACCCCAACTAACACCTTCACTGGTACCATCAATTATCCATATTTCACTACTCTGTCCTTTGGTAAAAAAAAAATAAAATAAAATAAAAGCTGGGACCAGGCATATTACACTCCTGGAAGTGTCAGATTTTGAACAATTTCCAGGTATCAGTATCACCAGATTGGTGAGAGATAGGTATTAAAGCATAAGTTCACCTTTGGAACATGTTACATGCTCCACCCATTTTTAGGGTGGAACATGTAACATGTTCCCATAGCCGCAGCCACGCCCCCCCCCCCCCCCCCCCCCTTTGACAGATAGTATGGGGAAACTTCTCCCTGTACTATCTGTCAGATTTGAAAACAGCGCAGCCATGCAGGGCTCCGCCCACACGGCCACATCACTCTTTCACAGAATTCTGTCCCGGCAGCCTTAGCAGCAGTGGGCTTTTAGTTTTCAATGAACTACCATGGCGCTGTGGAGCACTGTGGTAGTTCATTGAAGCTTCTGGTCAGAACATCTGCTTGCTCGTACATCCCGTACGGCAAGCGGATATTCCAACAGGTCTGCAGGAGACCTGCATGGCATCAGCGATCTACTGATTGCTGGTGCAATGCTTCACAGGCTCCTTTGGACAAAATAAATGCACATTTTTTTACCTGCAAAAAATGTGCATTTATTATTTCTGTCCAAAAGGTGAACTTATCTTTTAAAGTGTGTTTTGGATAACGTAGAATGATCTCAAAAGGTTTTAGTGCTGTCTGTGTGTCTGCTAGGTAAATTTACTCTGTCTGGCCTGGTGACCTCTTGCACTAGGAATATATGTGAGAAAATGTAAAATTCTGAGTTGCCAACAAATCAGGAATAGAGGGGACATTTTTCAATGGGGACACCTGTTCCAGTGACAACTGTAAGAGGAGATTTTCCCTAATTTGAAAAGATTTGTTCTCACTTCCTTTTGCGTTTATAGGACAGGAAGCGAAGGGTTTTCCCTTAACAGTCATGGCCAAAATAAACATGAGAATGAACATGAGAATGCCTAAACATTTGGTGCATTGTCTGACAAAATGTAGGGGCAGGGGGTGGACTGACCATTTGGAAACTCGGGCACTGCTCGAGGGCCCGGGGTCAGTAGGGGGCCCCATGAGATGCCCCTGGTACCTTTTTCATGGGCTTTTTTGAGTTTGGGCAAGGACACGGGCCCCATGATCCCCTATTGCCCAAGGGCCCCATGAGTTGTCAGTCCGCCCCTGTGTAGGGGTGCCAATATTTTTGGCCATGACTGTAGGTGGAAAAAAAACTGACAGAAGTTTTAACCAATCCCTACATTATCCAAAATGGGAAAACATTTTTAACTTTAGATATACGCAAACTTTTGCATGAGGTATGGTTTCAGAGTTTCTGTTGCAACATATCTGATAAATCACTAAACTGTCAAGTTGCAGAGACTGCAGTGATGGAACAAACAAGTCAGAAGTGTAATTTTTAGTTTTTCTGTCACATGCAAATGCTACATTTTCGTTTATAAACTATAAGATTACAGCTTGAGTCACAAATTCCTCCTCACACTGCTTAAAAGTAACGCAGTGATAATACACCTGCCCCAGACCACTTCATAGTTGTGCATGTATTTTAAAGTGTTACTAAACCCATGACCCTGCATTCACTATATCTGGTCTCCCACAGTGTACGGAAATGTAATTATTTTAGTAAATATACACTGCTAAATACCTTTTTTTATCAGCAGTTTGAGCAGTCTTGTGACTTCTATCAGTGTCCAGTAGAGCACTGGTTAAAGCTAGTAGGAGTTTTCATTCTCTCCTGTTTGTCCTATGAGGCTGGAGGACCCCTGACCCTCTGTGTGGAAAGCACTGACTGGCCTTGTGCGGATTACATGCACTTTCTCACAAAAATAGAAAAAACTCTGGCAATACACACCAAACTGAGCATGTCCAGCTCTGTTCTATCAGCAGATGGATTGGGGACTGTGGAAGGAGGAGAGGATCAGAGAAGAAATTATCAAACATCCTCTTTACACAATGCAGAGGATTAACCCTTTCGATTCCGCAGTGATTATAACAAGTATGCTTTACTGCATATACAGACTGATTTACTGTTGTAGGTTTAGTAACACTTTTAGAGAAACTCCATCAACTGCAGTGGTACATGTCACAGATTTTTGCATTTGAATGCTCAGTATTGCAGGCACAAATCTTTTGTGAGAGGCAGCCTGATCTGAAAAAGGAATGCAGCTAATTTTGTTGCTAAATGTGTTATATAAACTGCTGGACAGCTAGTATGTTTAGGCCCAAGAGCATAGGTCTCTGGCTTTTTGGGTGTGGGCAGAGGGTATAGGTGCACTGTCCAGTCCCACTGCATGCAGTCTGTCAAACTCTTTGAGACGGTGACACCTGCTGCATCTGGATAGTGCACGGAGTGGTGCAGTTACACCCAGGGACGAACGCCGGGAGCACAAATTGTCTGTTCGTGGTATTCATCTCTAGGTGCATGCTACAGTAATGTAAATACCATTCAGTGCACCATCCAGCCAAAGCAGCTGTCAGCCTTAAAGCCAAGCATGTTACGCCAACCTATATTGAAGATTTCACCTCCTCGGTATGTCAGAGCATATATAAAAAGTAGTGACCAGGAAACATAATAAGGGAGTTTATATTTTGTTAATTAATCCTCACAATCTGCTGTAAAAATGTATTCTTCTAAAAAGTCAAAGAACATTTTTATTAAATGGAAACAAATGCCTTGAATCCCTAAATACATGTATATTTTCAAATATTTAGCTTCCAAAATGAAAATCAATGTATGAAAAGTTCCTATATGCTTGAATGTTTTTAAATCTTCTGCAAGTGTGTACAATGTATATATTATGGTGGTCATACACAGCCCTATAAAGCAAACAATGTGATAGTTAAAAAGACCTGCTTGCAACAGTGAGATCATATAGGAGTTCACTAAAACGTAATAAATGTGCAATGGAAATGATGATTATTGCAAATCTTTCTTAACATACTGAGATATATGTCCGGCATTGTAACAAGGACTGAAGAAGATCTTGGCATCATTAAAATTCAGCTGTCTCTCTGATCTAGGTAAGAGGTCAGGACATCCATGGTCCCCTTTAAAATGCAAAAAAAATACTTTGCAGAGATCCATGACTGACCATACGCAGATGAATGTGAATGTATTTTTTTTTTTTTTTTTTTTTTATAAACGTGGCACCTTGTTCTTTTTTTTTTTTTTGCTGCCAATGCTGAAGACGTGAAATTGCACACTTAACTCCACCAATTATTGATGATGTCATGAGAAGTGACAGACTTACTCCAGAGAGTCTACTCCTCCAGCCAGCATGTGTAGATGGTTTAGGGTTGTAATGGATGTGGTCAGATGGCGCTTGGCATGGTCCAGCTGTTTAATATCCCGTGTGATTTCTTTCACCTTGATAAAGTCATATAAGGCAGGTTAGTGATGGAATGTTTCAGGCAAAGGATTTGAAAATCAATTTTTGTTTCAATATGTCTAAGCAATCGCTAATCATGGCATGCTGTAAAAAAACAGTGATAATACTCTGGGGAAATATACACGTTCTTTAGGGGACATGACACATACTACATTCCAAACTGCACCTCCACTTTACATAATTGCTTCCATGCATATAAGCCTTGCCAGGCCATTAGATTTGCAATAGGAAAATACAGTCATGGCAGTTCTTTTATGCTCCATAAAGCCAAGAATCCTATTTAAAAACAAGCATACTTAACAAAAATGACTTTTCAGACAATTAAAGGACTCAAACCCTCTCTTTTGGGCTTGAGATGTTCATGGTTTATTAGAAGTATTTGTATTCTAAATGCTATGTACAAAAGACTGTAGATAAACAATGTCCAATTAATTTCTGGTATGTATAGATGTTTTAGACAGATTCTTTTATCATTCAGGGACTCTAGAAGTGCACTTCCTAGGTCTGCCAACTTGTTGCAGCCACCACAGGAAGGAAAGTAGCACATGCTCTTAGGCATAGTTCCCCTTTACCGAAAAAATGCCTATGTAAAAAGGGATGACTTTAGATAAAAACAAGCTGTGCAGTTTTGGCTAAAATTGAATGAAGGTGTTGGTTAAGTTGGAGGCCATTTATGTCCCTTATGAAGCCTGGCTGGAAAACTCATAATTTGTTGCTAAGAGACTCCAACATTTCTGTCCACCATCACAGCAGCAAGCTCTTTCTCTGATTCAAACTCGCTCACACACTCTTTCCCTCCTCTGATGCAGTAGCTTTGAGCTCAGTGTTTTGCTTTGTCTTGCATTGCCATGTGTTTTATTTGTGCATTAATGTCTGTTTTTAATGTGTTTTTGAATTTAAAATGGATAGGATTAACAGCCACTGACCATGACTTGTTATTACGTGATGCCAATGACATCTAAGGGGCTTATAATACTATAAAAACATACAAACAGCCACATTGAATTTTTGAAAATACACTGCACTACAGTGCTGAGATGGGAACAGCCACTACTTTATTATTAAGAAGATGGACACATGCATTTTTGCACATTACAACATATGGGGTAAATGGGTCGTAAACGTGGAGTAAATAACCCTTTAGTGTAGCTGTTTGTTTACAAAAACATTAAATACATGTTAAATGCTACCAATAATATTAACTGTTATTTTTAATGAAGTATTACTTTAAGAGAATATTACATTAAAATAATTATTACATATGTATATTACATATATTATTAAAGTAAATCTAAACCAAGAAAAAAAATATGTTATACATTGGATATAAAAAGTCTACACAGTCCTGTTAAAATTTCAGGTTTCTGTGATGTAAACAAATGAGACAAAGATAAATCATTTCCGAACTTCTTCCACCTTTAATGTGACCTATAAACTGTACAACTTAGTTGAACAACAAACTGAAATCTTTTAGGTGGAGGGAAGTAAAAATAAAAAACTACAATAATATGGTTGCATAAGTGTGCACACCCTTAAACTAATACTTTGTTGAAGCACCTTTTGATTTGATTACAGCACTCTTTTTGGGTATCAGCATGGCACATCTTGCCTTGGCACTATTTACCCACTCTGCCTTGCAAAAAACACTTCTGTGCACAGCCCTCTTCAGATCACTCCACAGATTGGATTCAGGTCTCAGCTCTGGCTGGGCCATTCTAAAATTTTAATCTTCTTCTGGTGAAGCCATTCCTTCGTTGATTTGGATGAATGCTTTAGGTCGTTGTCATGCTGAAAGATGAAGTTCCTCTTCATGTTCAGCTTTCTAGCAGAAGCCTGAAGGTTTTGTGCCAATATTGACTGGTATTTTGAACTGTTCATAATTCCCTCTACCTTGACTAAGGTCCTAGTTCCAGCTGAAGAAAAACAGCCCCAAAGCATGATGCTGCCACCACCATGCTTCACTGTGGGTATGGTGTTCTTTTGGTGATGTGCAGTGTTGTTTTTGCGTCAAATATATCTTTTGAAATTATGGCCAAAAAGTTCAACCTTGGTTTCATCAGACTAGAACACATTTTCCCACATGCTTTTGGGAGACTTCAGATGTGTTTTTGCAAAATTTAGCTGGGCTTGGATGTTTTTCTTCGTAAGAAAAGGCTTCCGTCTTGCCATTCTACCCCACAGCCCAGACATATGAAGAATACGGGAGATTGTTGTCACATGTACCACACAGCCAGTACTCCCAGACCAGTTTTCTTATCTTTTCATCAGTTTTGGAGGGACGTCAAGTTCTTGGTAATGTCACTGTTGCGCCATATTTTCTCCACTTGATGACTGACTTCACTGTGTTCCATGGTATATCTAATGCCTTGGAAATGCTTTTGTACCCTTCTGCTGACTGATACCTTTTAACAATGCGATCTCTCTGATGCTCTGGAAGCTCTCTGCGGACCATGGCTTTTGCTGTAGGACGCAATTAAGAAAATGTCAGGAAAGACCTATTAGAACACCTGAACTTTATTTGGGGTTAATCAGAGGCACTTTAAATGATGGCAGGTGTGTACTGACTCCTATTTAACATGATTTTGAATGTGATTGCTTAATTTTGAACACAGCTACATTCCCAGTTATAACAGGGTGTGCACACTTCTGCAACCACATTATTTTAGTTTCTTTATGTTTACTTCCCCCCCTCCCTTAAAGATTTCAGTTTGTTTTTCAATTGAGTTGTACAGTTTATAGGTCACATTAAAAGGTGGAAAAAGTTCTGAAATTATTTATCTTTGTCTCATTTGTTTACAGAAACTTGACATTTTAACAGTAGTGTGTAGACGTTTGTATATCCACTGTATATCACAGCCTTCTAGTTCTTAGTGGTAGCTGCAATTGTTAACTTTTTCAAGTATTTGATGCTGACCACATGCCTGTTGATCCTGTCAAAAATCTATAGTCACTTTTTGCGGACTAAACTGCAATAGCAAACAATGTTATCAGCCTTCCCAGCTATCTTCTGTGAACTACGGGACACCATCTCTCTATGAAATGGAGATAAGGATAGGGGGAGATGTTTGTTGATAACACTTCTCCTCCATAGGTACAGTACGAGTACAGTTGAGTGTCACCCTAGGACAAAATGTGTGATTCTGGCAGGATCACCATGTGAAAATAAAGAAGAAAAGCCTAACAAACAAAAAAAATGCAGCCACCACATCTGTTAATCTGCAATATATTGACAGAGTGAGTGTTTGCATTGAGAACCAATCAGCAGAAGCTATGTATACTAGTATATACTTTATGTAAGCAAACCTATAGCAGGGAGAGTGCTCAGGGACAAATTTACCTGTGAGGTTATGCTTAAAGCAAAACTAAAGGTTCGTTTTTTGGGTTTTTTTTTAATAAAATAACAAACATGTTATACTTACCTGCACTGTGTAGTGGTTTTGCACAGAGCAGCCTGGGTCCTCCTCTTCTCGGGTCCCCTACCGGTGCTCTTGGCTCCTCCTTTCTGACGGGTGCCTCGACAGCAAGCAGCTTGCTATGGGGGCATCCGAGCAGGCATTTTCCCTAGATGCTGCTCTGTCTCCCCATTCTCACACAGAGCTACAACTTGGCCCTGCCCCTTATCTCTCATTGGCTGACTGGCTGTGATTGACAGCAGTGGGAGCCAATGAGCCAGAGACCTGGGACAGCCGAGGCTGTCATGAACAGGTGAGTACTGAGGGGGCTGGGGGCACTGCTGCACACAGAAGGTTTTTTACCTTCATGCACGGAACGCATGAAGGTAAAAACCTTGAGCCTTTACAACCATTTTAACCATAATGCTTTCACTATTTATATAATAAACAACATAGGAAGACGTAAAGCTTTAGCGTAAGTTGGTGTCACACTGAATATTTGGACAGACTTTTAACTTCAAGGCTGTATTTTGCTGTTTGGCATGTTTTAAGCAGACCAAATACAGTACATTAGATGACAGTCAAATGTAAGGTAATAAAGCAATTGCCTAAAGATCTTAGTTTTGAGAAAAATTTGCCAACTAAAAAAACGAACTTACATTCTTCCAAGATTATTGCAGTTATAACTTACAAATGATCATTTGTATCTCACATAGATGGCCTTTTATTGTGGCCACACAACTGCCATCAGAATTTGTCAAAACCATTATAGGCCATTCGACAACAAACCTTTATAGGTACCTTAGCCTGTAGTTATTTGTTCAGGATGCTGGACATGGGAACAATGCCAAATCTGAAGACCTTCTGAACAAAATTCACTTTACAGTGATGCCTAGACACATCAGAACTAGAAACATTATTATTGCCTTGGAGGCCACAGCGCAATGCTAAGTTTAATTACCATTTGCTCAGACTTCTCAGCTTTGTCTTTGATGTCTTTGATCTTGCCAAAGAGTTGCTGTATGGCTTTCTGAGCCTCTTCCAAGGCCTGGGAGAAGGAAAGAACAAGGAAGACCAGCCATCCATCAATGCAATGTAAAGATGACAGTATTTATTATTTAACATGCAAATTCTGAGCAATGCATTCGTTCTATTCTGAATACACTTAAATCATGTTACTCATATCAATGTAAATAAATGCTGTGTGTATATAACATTTCACATAAACACTGCAGATATACAATATTGTTCGATACTAAACACTTTAATCTACAATGTATAATAAAACAATTTAAAAAGCTGTACAGTGTGTCTTGCCAAATAATTTCCTTGACTCTGTTTAAATACCATCTATATAAATACGTGCAATTTTGGCTTCTCATGTTCAAACAAACAAAATAATATTTCAAAGGATGAGCACTTTGTATTTTAATTAGGAAATTTTATGTCTTTATGTTCTGTTAAACATACATTTAACATGCTAACAAAACCATAGTTGCATAATGTTTAACAGGAGATTAAAACCTTAAAAGTGAGCTGCGGCAAAAAGTTAGCCTCATAATGAACAGAAAAAGACAAACATACATTTTTTTTTTATTCTGCCTCTATACCATTTACAGAAATCATTAACCACTTCCTGCCCAGCCCATGTAGATAAACAGCGGGGAGGGAGCGTGGCCGATGCAGGTGGATGTTTCGAAACATCCCCCCGCATCCACTGCCTGTGCGCGCTCCCTGGGAGCACGCAGCACCGATGCTGTTGCCCACTGTGTCCTCCAGACACAGCAGAACACAGATCGCTGTACAGGACCTCTGTGTGAGGTCCCGATTCATGTGATTACTGATTGGCCAATCAGTGATCACATGAATAGTAGTAAACAAGATGTCACTTCCTGACATCATTGCTTACTACATGTGAAATCTGTGAATGATCACAGAGGTCACATGGTACAAGGCTATTTACAACAGCCTTGTACCATGTGACAAGTTGTGACCAATCACAGCTCACACAGTATTTCTCAATGGCTGCAAGAATGCAGCCAGAGAGGATATATGATTGCTTTTACAGCCTTTATGAGTGTAAAAGCAATCAGTGTAAAAAAAAGAAAAAAAAAATCATCATCCCCACAAGTAGTACAGTGTCACTATGTACAGTGTACTGCTGGGGTGACAGTATGTTAAAAAAATATATATATAAAAAAAAAAATGTAAAAAACAAATTTTGAAAATTATAATTTTTGGTTATAAACTAATTTGGGCTATTTTTTTTTTTACTAAAAAGATAGATGAATACATTTTGACCAAGATGAAGAAAGATTATTTGCAAAATTGTATAAGAAAACCACTTTTAAAAAAAATGTTTTGACTTTTTCATTTTTATAGCAAAAAAAAAACCCAGTGGTGAATATATACCACCAAAATAAAGTTATCTGTCTCAAAATAAAGCTAAAAATTTTATATGGGTACAGCGTTGCACGACAGTGCAATTGTCAAAGTTTGATAGAACTGAAAGCTGAAAATTGGCCTGGACTGGAAGGGGGTGAAAGTGTCCAGTCCGGAAGTGGTTAAAGCTGAATTCCAAGAAGTTATAAGAGACAAACTAATGCAGCTCTGCAAGCATTAATACGTTATTTACTGTAATTAGTGCAAACATTTGAATTTGAATTGGTATTACCCTCCAAAAAAATTCCATGAACAGCAGCTTTCAAACTAGGAGCCAATCAGGGGTGCTGCAAACATGCTGACATGAGAAGAGAGCAGAGGGATGGTATGTCAGATTGCTATACAGAGAATGCTGCTCTCAGAGCTGTGGTCTTTAGCTGCAGCCTCACTTCCAGCATGGGGGTTTTTCTGCTAAGGCAGATTTGAGATGAAATCAACAGTAAGCTATTCATAACTTAATATTTTGAGGTAGCCTAATTTTAATGGTCTTTTCTTTCTTTTTTTTTTTTTTTTTTTTAACTACAACTGAGCTTAAACTGTAAGCAGCAACATCAACCTAGCTGTACTGTATAAGGGGCTATGTAAAACTTAGGAATGGCTGGACAGAATATAAAACCTTTGGCAGGTAAAAGTGATCTCATATATGTCATGCTTTTGAATATTTATATGTTTGCAAATTTATTAGTCCAGCGCTTGAGTACTCATGCGTCTCACTTAGTTCAAAATACATTCCAATCAAAAAGTTCACCACTCTCTTGAAATTCTGCAAGACTCCAAACGGCAGGATAGTAAACCCCCAAAAAAAAAAAAAAAAAAAAAAAAAAAACAGAAAACAATATAGTACAGTATTGTAAATACTTTAAATTGTACTCAAAGTGAATGGTGCAGCTGCCATCTTAAGCGAGGTATTATATGTTCATAAAAAGAATCTGTTTCAATAAATAGGTTTTATGAGGATTGTTGTACTATAGATTTCTCTGCTGTTTCTGCATGGTAGAGCTGATGCATTGGTTTAATAAAGGTTTGGAGACCGTGATGTGAAGAAAGCATTATAAAGAAAAGCCTTTGAACATAATGTACGTGTCTGGTAAAGTGCATGTAGGGACTCCTGGTTGTATATTAGTGTTGGATGCACTTTTCACAGGATTATAAAAGGGGATGCACGCTAAATGTGAGTGGTTTATTAACAAACAAACAAATATATATATATATACATATATATATATATATATATATACACACACACACATTTTTTTTTTTTTCTTTTGGCAACATATTTTCTGTCTTATGGTGGGAGCTGAGAAAGATTTTAAAGACCACATCGATTTGACTATGCAACTTATAACAAGTTTTCATTCGGTAAGGTGCATGATGTGATCATATGAGACACATTGCATGTGGTGGAATCACAGTGGTTTAAAGGGACAGGAACATTGTGTACCCACTTAAATGTGAGTAGCAGTTTCATAGATAGAGTGATTTTTGTTAAGGTATAACACTTAAGTTCATTTATTTTTCCTGGGTGCTCTTGAAACTTGCGTTGGGAGGAAGGAGGAGTATTTTTGACAGCGGGTTTGATGAGTGAAGGTTGAAGAAATCTATTTTTGGTAACGGAGAGTAAATATATATATACCGCACAAGTGATGAGTAAAATGTTAGCACCATTTACTGGATTTTGAGCACAATTTTGGAGTATTGCACAATTGCTTATTATTTAAATAGCGAATTGTACTACACAATATATTTTTCGTTTTTTCCAAGGGTTATTATTATCTTACCATTTGGAGTTAATGGAATTTCAAGAGAGTGGAGGACTTTGTGATCTAAACATATTTTGAACTGACTGAGCGACACCTGAGTATTCAAGCTTTGGTCTAATACATTTGCATATTTCAACTGTGTTGGGGCAGAGGGTTTCCAGCTGCTGGGACTGTTGGAGAACAACCACTCTAGTGCAATGATCTATTAGACTCATATTTATATATTTGCTTGGAGGTTATCATTAAGAAAGGATTCTGGATGCCTATCTCGGGAGATTTTTTTAGCATCCTTTTACCTTTAAAGGGTTGGCAGGCCCTTCTACAACTGTAAAATTTCTTTCAAAGTTTGAATTTGAGTGGTATTGTTTCATTCCAAATTCCATTGCACAGAGCAAGTAAGTATATAATGTTTTTTATTTAAAAAATATATATCTTTGCTTTGCAATCACTTTAAGATATCTCACTAAAGCCTGCCATACAAAGATCGAAATTCAAAGGTTCAGGAGGGACTGGCAAAATTTCAATGTGTGGCCACTGCAGTTAAACAGAAGTGGATCTAACTTCTGTTCAATTGTCCTGTCGGAAGAAAGCTGCTCAATCAGCACATGCAGCCAATGGCTGCAGCACTGATATGTGTATTCTGATAGCAGGGGGAGTCTCCCCAATGTCAGAATAGAATAGCATGGATGGGAAGATTCCAGCACCACCACCAATCACCTTAAATGTGTGGATGGGGAATCTGGCCAGTTTTTTTTTTTGTTCAGCTACCTGGCTAAATGAAAGAAAGTGGATCAAGTATGGCTAGCTTTAGAACTATAGAGTTGCCAAAGGTCAAAAGTACCCAATATCACAGATTAGAGAACTTCTATATGACTCAATTTTCAAATTTTTGACCTTCAACAAAATCTTAATTGGCAGCTACTGACCATAGACCTGTTCTAAAAATTCACAGAAGACCATATTAACAAACTTGCAGGGAATATAAAATATACAATATTGGAAGGGCTGATACAGTTACATTTCCTCAAGGAATCTCTGCTCCAAGCTCCCTCCATTGCTATTCATATGGCCAAAAACCTAAGTCTTTAGCCACATGATCAGGAGCAGGATAAGCAAACATTTTAGCCTTACTTCTATTACAGATAGCCAACACTAGTATTACTAATTCAAGGCATTCCACAGTATATTAGCTACAGGTACAGAGATATTAGTTTTATTTAAAATCATTCTGAGAGCTAATGCACAAATATGGCACAACATACCGTCATACATTTTCACTATTTCTGGGACCCTATACCAAATAAAACATTATAAACCGTGTACTAAGCCCAGTTTTACGGGAAGACCTTTGCCAGTCTAAGCCAATCATCAGCGCCATCCATCTCTTTAGCACATAACTCCAAGAGCTTGCCCAAACCTGTTTCATTAACTTGCAGGCTCATGTAATACAGGAGAGATTTCAATAATAATACTAGCCAGCTATTTTGTTCCAGCAAGGCAGATAGTGATTTTCACTAGATTATTTTGGCAGATACTGGTGCAAATGTCAGCACAGGAGCCTATTAAATTACCCATTTGTTTTCTATAGATTTCTTGGAGCATTTGCCAGTTGAATTATGCAGACTGTACAGCTAAGCCATCTATAAAGACTGCAGGGATCAGTGGACCCACTAAGAGACATCTGTTTTGTTCTTTTGTACTTGGCCATACGAAAAATCTCTATATGCATAGCTGAGGCTAATGCAGTAAATCATAATGCTGCATAGAAAAGTCCACACTCCTGTCTTTATCCCTCATGACAAGTGTCCTTTCTAAAAGACTATATATCATAATCCTCCTACAGCAGCAT